AAGCCACGCAGAGAAAACTTGGTTCAGCAGGCAGCAAAAGAAGGGATATCATTTGCATAAAATATAACAAGTTCTTGAAATACAAAGGATTTCCCGACAAAACCTGTCACCCACATCACTGCAAAAACAGCCTATAGTTGTTTGCCTTGTTTCATCGCGGCACCACCAGGTCGCCACGTCGCACGACCGAGGTGGACGTGCTCTTTCGAAGCTCGGAACTCGTCTCCAATGCGCCGACGGCGCAAACGGTGACAGTGCGGGGAAGCGACTTTCGAACCGAGCGCCTGCAGGCGAGAAGTCAGTGGATGGGGTGAGAGCGAAGTCGACTCGCATCAGTTACTTTGGGGATGCAGCAGATCTTCTTACAGAAGCAAGGAGTCGATTCTAGAGGTTTTTGTGTCGGTGAAGACTTCCAACTTGTGCTTCTCGGTCACTTGAAGATGTTGGAAGAGCATGCCACATGCCAGGATTGCATGTCACAAGCAGGGTTGTTTGTCACCTTTTCCTGCCCAGCAAGGTGCAGGCCTTCCGACAGATGGCATTGGTTTGGTACCAAAGAGATCGGAATGATGTACTGTAAAATGATTGTGCCCAACATGCATCCAAACACGACCAATGTTGTAATGTCCAGATATAATCAGATTGGATAGGATGTCACCTTTCAGGTTACCAGGTTTCAACACAGAAGGTTCTCCTGCCGCTCAGCCTGTGCAGGCATTGTCCCACTTGCGCATCTTGTCTTGGCACTTGCAGAATCAGTCGCAGCCAAGTATACAGATATGCAGATATGCCTAGATATGGGGAATGGAACAACCCAGTCTTGCGAGTTCTTGGTTCATTGTATGTGTCATTATGTTTCTTTTCATGCCATCAGTTGCATCAGTTGATATTATGAGACATGTTTGTTCGTCTGGATCTTAGCGACCAACACCCACGACCTCGCATTTTGGTTCTTTGCGAAATGACCTCTAGCTCTTCCTCTTCACATAGGAATGTCTCAAAGCCTAGCATAGCCGATAGCATCTATATTCAATTACTATGTCGGATAGCCCTCTAGTACAGATTCAGTCGCTATGGGTTGTTGTTTGGAAATTGACGTTTTGATGCTTAGTAAAGCCTGCACCATGTCAACGATCTCACACTGGAAGCAAAGCATCTCAACAAAGCCGACAAGGCTTCAATCAAAAATAGACAATATTTATACCTATATGCCTATATGATAGATAGTTTTGGGCATTGCCTTAAGCCTTGATTCGAGATTTGAAGAGTAGTCCTTGCAAGAGATTGGTCGAACAGAAGAGCCAGGATCCACAAGTCCCTCATTCCTGATTCCTTTCCGTTGGACCGTTTCCTCCCGCACCCCGGGTTTGCGCGGGCTGTGGCGGGCTGTGACATATGCAAAATGCGTTGCGACGACTGAGGACCGCCATCTACCCATTTATACAGTGGCTTCAGAGTAGATGGCGTAGGCAATTCCCAATTTTGGTGGTTTATATGGCTTATGTCTTATGTTTGACTTTCAAGCTATTCGAGGTCTGTGACCGCTAGCTGACCCCCATATAAAAGACAACTTTGGGTTCGTGCCATCTAGTCTGAAACCCTTTTATACTGTTTTATACTCCAAGACTGCAGAATGAGTCAATGAGAGGTATGAACTGGTACCAAGTACATTAACCGTGAACTACGTCGCTTGATTCATTGATTACATCGATCCAGCAAGAGCAAGTATTCTTCTATGAATCAACCAGGCTTTTGATGGTTCCCAGTTCCCAGCACCGCCGCGGCGCCTGGTCCCACACCAGGCTCATGTGCCAGCTGAGGTATCCTGGCAAGGGCCTCTGGCTTGAACTTGGACGAGATTGAGCAAGTGGTCGAGCTCCTGGGAAATCAATGAGACACCAAAGTGGTGGTAATTTCACTACAATACACTACAGCTAGATCTACAGTATAGATTTATTTTTCAGGGGGAAACCAAAATGAGCTTGCTCCTCCAAGACCAACGAATACCAAAGACATCTGGAATCTTCACATCTCATCATGTCTCCGACAAGAGTCAATGCTGACACCCCAAGTGAGAGTAAAACCCTTATCAGAGGGGCTTGCAAAAATGACTCCCACTTTTTTTTGACTCTCAGTTTCTTGTTCCTGACGCTATTGATACTCAAGAAGAGGGGGAGGAAGAAGATGAAGATGTTCTCAGGAAGAAGAAGAAGATGCTCTCAAATTTCTTCATTTAAGATGCTAAAGCTGAGGGGGAGGAAGAAGAAGAAGAATAAAGTGATGATGATGATGATGATGAACACAAGTCCAACCCAACCCCCAACCTCCAACCCATCACCCAACCCACAACCCAAAGCTTCACGCCAGCTGGTGGAGAGGCAAGTCCTGGCAATCACAGCGTTCAGTGATGAAACGTGTTATCACTAAAAGGGATCCGCTCCGCACAGCTCATTTTCACCCTCACATCGACATGTCATCGCTTTCCGCAGTCACATCGGCGAGACAAATCAGGTTGAAGCCGCACTGATTGAATCTGATCTCTTCGTTGGGACCTCGAATCTCGAATGTGGCAAAGAAAACATGTGACAAAAACATGTAACAAAAACAACTGTTGGACAAGGGGCCCAAATGAAAGAGCGGTCCTTCCACCCATGGTGCAATGTGATACATCTTTCCGCCGATTGGGGCCGTGGTATGGTACCCCACATCCTGACCAGGAGCATATGTGCAGGTTGCAGTCACGATGAGAGCCACTACCTTCCCTGCCTTGATATCCATCTTGTTGAGAGTCTGAACAGCTTCCATCGCATTGCTTGATTTGCTCAGCATAGATTCACACTGGTTGTACAAGAACTCTTGGGTCTTCTCCCAAACATACCTCGAGTCAAAAACCGGACCCTTGACACAACGGAGACATGAACGACAAAGGAATGCTGTCAAGTAACTTCAGTGTCACAGAGTGCCTGATGTTCTCCAAAGTCACACGGCTATCAAAATCATCACTCCTTGGTGTCAGACTCATTCACTTGACGCACTTAAGAAATCCGACGGCCGAGTGACCCCGGCTCTTCCTGCGTCAAATGGTCTCTCCTGGATAAAGTGATCACGAAGCGCTGCAACCTGAAGAAGTACACGGAAACACTGAAAACCAAAACCAAATTCATTCAACACGACAATCATTACAGAATCTTGCAGTTGACACCTGGGCACTGCTCCATCTTGGCCAGGCATGACATGTCATCCAGCTGTCTCACCAGCAACTCAAGCATGAAGGTTTCAGCATCGTCAAGGTCAGACATGGCTCTCTAACAAGACCTGTCAGAACCTGCTCGACAAGGGTCTGCGGAGTGAGGGCAAAGATATGGCACATCAAACTCAAATCGCAGTATTTGACTTTGAACATGAAATGCTCCTTTGACATGACCGTTGAGGACCTTTGACCTGTGACTTTGAACAGCTCCTTTGACACGACCTTTGACCTCTGACTATTTGAATCTGAATCTGAATGCTGAAAAAATGAGTGTTCTTGAGGAAAAATGCTGAATCTGAATCTGAGATCGCCAACTTTTCCAACCCCAACCTCAAGATCCCAAAGGCATCATCAAGCGATGCGTTCTGTACAAATTTCCTCGCTTGGTGGATGACAGATTCAGCCCCGTGATGTCGATGCGATGCACATCCATCACATGATCAAACACTGAGAACGGGATGAGGAGGCTGACCGCATCTCCCTCCTCATCCTGCTCGGGATCAAAGTCCCAAGCCAGCACCTTTGATGCCGGTTGGAGCACCGAAGGCAACGTCAATGTCTCGTTGAGTGAGACATCGTCTGCAGGGATCCAGGCGCCGAAAATGTCCAGGACCTTCTTTTTGCGCCCGGCTCGCATGTTCATCTCTGGTGAACGTGTTGGATGGTACCACGCAAACCTTGGTTTGTGGCTGTCAATCAAACTGCTCCACCTGAAAACTTGAATTGCCAAACCGTTCAATGCCTCCAAAGAACAATCCCTGCTCTTCGCCATCGTAATTTACCAACTCCATCAAAACTCCGAGAACGATGGGCAGCGTTTGATCTTTGCCAGCCACAACACAGAAGTCGCCAGGGCCAATGAAAGCCTTCCTGGCAGGTGCTCGCGACTCGTCCAAGCCTGTCATGGTGACAAGAGAATCCTGAGGCAAGTGGCCGATGTCAGCCCCCATCGAAATTGAGTAGTAGATGTCATTTGGGATTTCCAGGGGGTCTGGCTCTCTGGCGACAAGCTGGCACGGGCCCAAATGAGCACTTCTCAAATCCGAAATCATAGTCTCCTCAGTGCATATGAATGAACCCACCCAACCAAAGATCTAACATGTCGCAATAATAATTTATCATCAAGCTTCCAGAGATGGGCCAGCATCTGGTCCATCCAAATAAGCCCGCAATTCACGAAGTTGCTCCCTTGCGACTTGGCCCGATGCTGCCAATGAGGCTTCCTTAGGCCAAGATCAGACAAAAAACTATAGAAATCACGAATCATAGCTACAAATGCCCAAGCTTCCAACTTGTCTAAGAAGTTCAAGTGCTTCGCCTTTGATTGCTCATCAAACTCATGCTTCACCAAAGGCGGTTTTGCCGTGGCAAACACGGCAACGCGGTCATACTCAACCAGCAAACGTGGTGTTGACCATGACTCATCTGACACGTATTGCCTCCACTTGACCCAAATCCCCATATTGTCCACATAGAGCCGGAGAGAGTGGACATTTCGATATCGGTGAAGCTCGATGCCATACAAGGTGCGAAGGTGAGTGAAGTCGTAGCTTGAACCGTGGTGGCTCCAGTTCATGGCAAATGCCTTCAATGACTGGGAAGAGATAGTGGCCATTTCGTCCATTGTGAAATACGTTCGCCCCCTCAACGATGTAATCAATCTGGAAAAGAACCGGTCCAGCGATCCGTGAGTGTGTCCCACCAGCGGGTATTGAAACTCCACAGCCTTCAACTCAGTGCCATTGTGAAGGGTTGCCAGCAGCCAAATGGCCCAGCATACGCATGTACTGTTCTTGGTCTCTTTCGGGGTGTTGTCGGCCCCCACATACAAGCACTGTGGGAGCCGGCCCTCTTTCATAGCGGTACGATGGAGTTGCCTCGTGAGCATTGTTGCCTGAGAGTTGGCTCCATGGGAGGCGTTCTCCAAGGTGGTGGTCAGGCAGAACTCATCCTCACCTCAGGCACTCTGCGGAGCTTGCGTGAAACAAAAGCTGCAGAAAACTGATTTTGCACGTGTATCCAAGATGCGCTTTGGGCCAGCGTAATGCACACCCACAACGCCAACAACAAAGCGCTCCCCCAGCTTGAACAACTGTGTGGTAAGCCTTGGTGGTGTTCAAGACGCTTTCTGAACAGCAGGAAAAATGACACAGTAGCAAATATTGAAATCAGTAACATATCATGAACGCATGGGAGGATGGTCTTGTTCTGGTCACACTTGTCAATTGACAAGTACCTGACAGCAAGGGTCAGATGGTCAGTGGCAATGTCGCGCATCAAAATCATTCACTGCTGACATTCACACGCCCTCAAACAGAGGTCACCAATCTTCTCCAGTTCGCCGGCACATCTCTTGACACCTTGCAATTGCCAGCCGCTGCGCTGCCTGGAAGGTGTAGTGTCTTCCTGGAACCAATCACGAATACCTATGCAATTCAAGTCAGTCAGTCACAGTCAGGCAGTGAATCACAGTCCTAATCGCTTCTTCACAGCGGTGAGAATCTGGAGTTCACTTCTCGGGGTCTTGTCCAACATGTTCTTCAGAAAGGTGCAGGCCGAGCAAGCGGTGAACATGGACTCCTTTGTTCAGCACAAATGAGAAGTCACATGGCTTATGCCTTCCGACAATCAACTTTGCGGCTTCAATCGAGAATCTGATTTGGCAATGCGAACCCAAGGCAGCTCGTTGGTCCAAGCTTTGCGAAAGGTCGATAAATCCGCAGGCTTTCCATCCAAATGCCCCAAATTTTGCTCACTCCTAGGTGTGACATGGTGTGACAATTTGTATGAACATGTCACGCATCACCCTTTGGTTTCACATACTTGGATTTGCTACTGACGTTTTTTCTCAATATAGCCTAAGGTTCCTCTCAAAGTCATACTGCGAATGGTAGAAAAACTTCCTGCCCGCTGGAAGATAGATCTGGAGGCTCATCGGTGAACGCTCCCCGTGCGTTTCAGCATATGTTTCGATCCACTGTCTGCTGTCCAGGTAGCGGTGGGCCTTTGCTTGATTGCGGATTGCCGTCCAGGCAAGGGCGTCACTACGCCAAATGCTCACCACTCCTTTCTCGATCTTGTTACGAATGTTCTGCAAGGTTCCACTGGATATCCCTGTAAGCTTTTGAAACGCCCTGCTGCAAATCCTCACTCCAGCAAACTTGAAGGTCCCAGGGTTGTCCTTGACTAAGTCTAACAGCATCTGCATTCGCCTGTCCCTGGGGAGGCTGCTCCAAAGAAAGCGCCAGTTCCTGAGTTTGGTCCAAATCACAGCTCAGCTTAGATAATGTTAAACCTGGGCGTCTTTCGGCGCTTTAACCGGGCCACTTCACGATTGCAGGGTTATCCACGAAGGTGCTCAAACATTCATGGTGTTCACGGCCAACAGCGCACTCACCTGCAATGTCTTTTTCCTTGGTTGCACGAGTCGATTGTTCATGTGTGGCAAGCGCTTTGAATCTGATTACTGACTCTGATTCGCAAGCGGTTTTCTTGACTTGACGCTGAATGACAAAATGAGCCTGAGATTCAATGCCGCTTGTGCTCAGAAACCTTTCCAAACGCAAAATGGATTTTGAAGACAATGCTCTGGACATCGAATCATCGCTTTGCATGTTGACCTTCT